TCAGCATACCTGCCTATGTGTTTGTCTTTGGTGAGGAGAAAAATTGCATTACAAGAAACATCTGCAGTAGGTGTGCCATGTTCATTACAAATGTACAAATGTTTTACCTTCACACTAGTAATGACATTTTGAAAATGAATACTTTAAATCAGCTTTATCTTTATGCTTAAGAAATTCCTGTAAAAAGGACATCTTACTAAATATACTAAACTCATGAGTCTGAAAGTACCAAACTTCTAAACTTTATTACTAACATTAATGTTGGCAGCCTTTATTTAGGAACATTTAGTTTTGTTTTCTTCCAGTCCCTCAGTATAAGAAACCTAAATGGATTGAACTATTTCTCAACAGTTGAGGGAAACACAGAAGAGATTGAGCAACCAGGAAAAAAAACCATATCAAATAAGATGCAAAAATATTTTGAATAGTTCCTTCTTTGTTCAGTAGAACATAGCTGTAAAGATTGCTTGGAAAACCAGTTTAGATTTGTACCTGAGAGCAAAAAATAAATCTGCTTTTAGTTTCTAGAAAGATTAAAATGCTAGACAGCTTAACTATGTATGGTAACACTTTAAAAGCACAGTTTGAAGTGGAAACTAAATTGCATTGAGGTCAGAGCCTCACTGCCAGAGGCTAAGTATTGGCAGACTGGGAAAATGGCTTTCTGAACTACAACATTCCCTTTAAACTATAGCCACAACACTCAAAACCAGTGAATTTTCAGCATCCCTACTATGTGCTAATTGCAGCATATTATGCCTAAATAACTTTTAAAAATCTTGCTCTGGTACATGACTTAGGGTATGTCTACACTGCATTCCTCTTTCGAGAGAGGAATGCAAATGCGGAGAAACGAAATTGCAAATTAAGAGCGGATTTGAATTTCCTGCGCTTCATTTGCATAATCACGTCCGGGTATTATTTTGAAATACCCTATTTCAAAAAAAGAAACGCTGTCTAGACGTAGTTATTTTGAAAGAAAACTCTTCTTTCGAAATTACCCTTAAACCTCATTTTATAAGGAGTAAGGGTTTTCTTTCGGAATAACCGCATTTAGACAGCATTTCTTTTTTCGAAATAGGGTATTTCAAAATAATACCCGGACGTGATTATGCAAATGAAGCGCAGGAAATTCAAATCCGCTCTTCATTTGCAATTTCGTTCCTCCGCATTTGCATTCCTCTCTCGAAAGAGGAATGCAGTGTAGACATATGCTTAGAGAGCAGGTTCATACTGTAGTTAGGTACCAGAATGAGATTCAGAAGAACTTAATTCAGTTTCTTTCTTTGCCATGGATTTCCTGTGTGACATGGGAAAGTCACTTACTTGCTTTGTACCTTAATTTCCCAAGTTCATTTGGTTCATATGAGGATAAATCAATACATTATTGGTAGAGGTTTAGGTAATACGTTTATGAGGGTCATAAAATTATCTAGATACTTTTAGTAAGTTTGAGGAGGAGAGAGCTAGCTATTGGAAACATACTGAATAACTTCAAGAATCCTTTCTTGGCATGGTAATCTATACACTTGTATGACTTCCCTGGAGGGGGAACTTTGATTCAATGAATGTTTGAACAAATAACCTAGAAAAAGAAGGCAAGTGGAGAAATTAATGTGGCTGAAGTGGAACAATCAGCAAATCAGCCAGTCTTAAATGACGGTACAAATTCAGTCCTCATCCTTAGCAGTTATCATGGCTCAGAAAATATTCCGATTAAAAATCAAGCCTGGATCTACAATGTACACAAAACAGAAATCTGCTCTGAAGAGAGGAGGTTTATTTTCTTATCATTTAGCTTGCTGCTGATGTGAAAAAGAAGAGAGAAATTAAACAACATTTCATAGCGGCAGGAGTGAAAGCAAGTAGATTAAACACAGTTAAGTTCAGTGTAATCTTGAATAATAAAACATTCATTTGAAGGGATCAGAGGACTGCATTTGGAAAAATTTGCATTTGCATGTTGGAAAAATTCTGTGAAAAGTGTAATGGAAAAGAGGATCAGGAATTTGAATGATATTTAAAAGACTCTGAGACCTTTTTCTCTGAGCTGTATCACATTAGCACTAAAATACTGCACTTGCTAAATATTCCTTAGAATATCAGCCATATTTTTTAAAGTTCTGGACTTTGATATTCTTTTGGGATATATTTTTTGGATGTGCACAAATGAATCAGGAGGAACTAAGTCTATTGTCAAAAGTCACTAAGGGTATGTCTACACTACCACCCTAGTTCGAACTAGGGTGGTAATGTAGGCAACCGGAGTTGCAAATGAAGCCCGGGATTTGAATTTTTAAATGTCTGCTAGTGCGGACTCTGTGCCGCGTGTAGCCGCGCGGCACGGAGTCCGCACTAGCGGACATTTAAATATAGTGCAAAGAACCAGCGATGCAATAGTATGGTCAATCAGTTAAGACAGCTAGTAAATACGCAAAGAAATAGCAATATGGATCAATTATGTGGAAAATCTGTAATTAGATGAATCGGAATCAGTTATGGAGCAGATCAATTATGCAAAGAAATACAAAGCAAATTAAAATGGGAAGACAATTGCTTATGGATCAAAAATACAGAGGATTAATTACTGAACAAGTGAGTTATATAGAAGCCAGCTAAAGGAATTAGGTTATGGTAATGGATAGTCAGCAAGGAAGTTGAATATACCAGGTGCTCTTGAGTGAAGTGAATAGCCAGGTACTAATGAAAAAGGTTATAAATATTTATCCTGCTGAGTAGCCAGCTGTGCTGGAACACTGTACTGCCCCAGATGACAGCAGGAAGCAGCAAGGAGATGGGGGCAGATCCTGGCTACAGGAGGATGTGCTAGTAGATACAGGAGAGGTCCATGTGACTTGCCTGCAGTTCTGCTTAATCTCTATTGCCTAGTCAAATTTGTGTTTAACTGTAAAGGGCCAAGCATCTATCCCCTCATTACAAGTTTTCCACAGACTTTCTAGACTTTTGACTCTGTCCATCAGCAGTAACTAGAGACCTGTCCCAAATCCCGTTAGACTTTATAGAATCCTTTCTTTTATCTTCAGTGGGCATTGGATCAGGTCCTACAGCACTTAACACCTGTCGGAGCTACTCCTTTGCCTTACATGGTGTGGGCATATGACACTGACTATGGCAGTAAGCAACAATTAAAAAACAAAATGTAACGTTTTGTGGAGAATTTCCTGGGTTTTCTCTGCACTGACAACTGTGGTGCCTATCTGTGGACAGACAGCGAAGAGTCCCATGGCACCTTATAGACAAACAGATTTATTTGGGCATAATCTTTCATGGATAAAAACCACTTTGTCAGACTCATGCATGAATCTGTCAGAGACTTGGTTTGCCTGTTTTATTTTGATTGTACCAGAAACCATGCCAGTGACTTTGCCTATTTTATTTTGATTGTACAAGAAACTCTGTGTACAAATCTGAAATCCCAGATGGGTTTTTTTCATGCATGCATCTGACAAAATCTCATTGTCTTTGCAGATACAGACTAACTTGGTTACCCCTCTGAGACTTATCTGCATACAGTCATCAGATAATGACACATACAAAATCATACAACATCACTATTTGCTGTACATATCAAGGATTACACAACTAGAGTCTCTGTCTGGGGTAAAAATAGGCATTTGAAAAATTAAAATATGGCCTGCAGCTGGCTGAAATTTGTCCTTAAGCATCCTCCAGAACATTATTGACAGAGCAGCAGCAGAATGTGAACACATTGGATGAAGTTCTAGTTGCACTGCAGAGCTACAGCAATGTGCATAGAGTGCATTTGATGTAGTACCCTTCTATGCTATCACTTTGTTTATTACAGAGAAGTGGTAGCTCAGTACTGCAATGAATAAGGTTTTGCATTAAATTCGGCCATGAAAATAAGATCAGCTTTTGGATTGCAAAAAAAGGCATTTGCCTGAATCAATATTTCATTTTTTCATGGGTTAACATCTGTGATTTAATGTTGCTAAAGAACCACATCACATGTTAGATTTTGTTTTTTAATTGTTGCTTGCTGGTATAGTCAGTGTATATCAGATTTTGTTTATTAATTCATGGCTGAGTTCTACAGCTATCTCAGAGCAGAATGAGCACGTTGAATGACTCAATTATTTTTTCCTTCAATTTTATTAAAATGTGTGTTATGAAGAGAAGTAACTAGTAACATTGCTTAAAATTATGCAAAATGCAAATAAGGATGGTTCCTTAGTGTCCTCTTCCTGGGCTTCTCAAAGCTTTCAGGCATTATACTCCTACATTCCAGTCCTGGACATCTTTTGAATAGAATCTGCCAATAATACCAGACTGGGAGGTGGGTCTGTGACATGGATAAATATCTACTATGCACACCATTAACTTGATTTTTTTGGGTCAATATGTGATTTGAATTCAGAATGGGAAAGGATAGCTACCTATTTTGACATTAAATTATTCTTTAAAATAAGCATGATCATAAGTACATTTAAGGGAATGCAGAATTCCTTCCCAATTTGATATTCACAAATGCTTTAAAGTGAAGCTACATTATGAATAAAAGAAATGAGTCTGAAGCCAAGGAGAGAGAGCTGGAGTGATGAGGTATATGTGAGTTATCACTGTAGCCGTGTTTATTAAACCCACATGAATAGAGGAGATCATCTAAAGATGGGCATAAAGGAAGAAAATGCGGAGCTAAAACCAAAAGGACATTGGAGAGGAGGAATTATTGCCCAAATCTGAAAGGTCAGTGAGATAAGAAGAAGGAAAGAGAGGATCATGCCAGTAAAGAATAGAATTTTGTAATAGCTTGTTATCAGTTTGAGGTCAATGGGATTTGAAGAGGCTTAACCCCTCACAAGAGGATCTAAGCATGTGCCAGTACTTGGCACCCTGTGGGGAAAAAACTCAGTTTTTCAAAGGAACTTTGATGCCCAAATACATATTGTCACCTACTTTCTATTACCTGAATATTGTACAGGCATAGACCTGCTTCAGTTAAATGGAACATTACTGACCTTGTTCGTTTGGTTCTGGTTGTGCAGTATTAGTGGTCTCACTTTTCTGTGGATCACTTTTGTTTTTATTTTCACCCTTAAAGAAACAAACAGGAGTATTTAAAATGTATTTTAGGAAAAGCTCTGGTTCTGGCATAAAAATATGTGAAAATTCACTTAGCTGCCTTTGTCTCTTTCAACCATCTTTATTCCTATAACATATCTTTTTGCTCTTGAGACATGCATGTGTGTATATATGTTTGTATTCTGTACATACAAAAAACCTCCCAAATACTAGAATACATATTTATATGATTACTTGAAGGAACATAGTGTAGAGAGGCATGATGGTCAAGTGGTTATAGGGCTAGAAAGACCTAGGTTCAATTCAGTATTCTTATAGGGTATGTCTACACTACAGTGTTATTTCAAAATATCTTATTATGAAATAACGTTTCTACACATAAAATGCATTTTGAAATAGCATTTTGCTATTTCGAAATAGTGCATCCACACTGAGTGGACTTTGAATCACATTTAAGACTGGTTCAGGTCAGGACTTACTGTGTGGGGCTGTTGCCTGAGGCTATCTGAGGTCTGTACTTAAAGGCCTCCCCCCCCCCCCCGAATAGCCAGTTCTCAGGTTTCCCTGCTTGCTTGTCTACTCAGGACACCACTCTGCAACATGGAGCCAGAGCTGGCCCTGGGTCCTTTGGTGCTTCTCTTGGATGCGTTGCTGCGAGCCTGGCTGAACTTTCTGCAGGCTGCCATCTGGGAGCTCCATCGGGGGCAGTTAGTATCCAGGAGGCCCTTCAGGAGAGCTTCTACCCTGAGGAGCAATAAAAGCCTCCCTGGTCTGCCCCACTGGGGGCTTGTGCCTCATTCCTCCCTCACGTCCTTCCACTTACCCCTCCCTAGCCCCAGTTCCTGATGTCAAACAAAATACATGGATTATCATGAACACAAACTCTTTTTATTTAACAAAACTGGGGGGGAGGGAATGAAACTCTGGTGAGACTGGGGAAAGGAGGCAAGAGAGGGGAGAAGAGAGAGTGGGAGTAGGGAGGGGGAAACCTGGGAGGAGGGAGCTGGAAGGGGGAAGCAAGGGGAAGAAGGGGGAAGGGAAGCTCACGGCTCAGAGTTGGGGGTCTCGTCCAACCAACTTGATTTTCAAGCAAACCTGCTCCTGGGTTCACATGTGGCCTTTAGTGGCCAGGCTGGCAGCTATCCTGCCATAGACGGCCGCATTCCTCCATCTAGTGTGGAGATCATGGATGTTGGGGGCATCCCCCCCAACCCTGAATATGGTCCATGATCTCCACTCTGGACGAGGAAGGCGCCTGCCTTCTCCAGGCCCTGACAGGAGAGCTGGCAGACTGCTTCTGGGGAGCGGTGGAGGGCTGGCTGCCAGTGGCTTGCTGGCTCATGTTTTGGGGCCACTGGGTCGGGGCAGAGACTGTTAGCTCTGGACTGGCAGGCTTGGAGCTGGCACAGGCACTATGGCCAGAGTCTACCCCTTTAAGGGCCCTGGGAAGTGGGGGGAGGGAGAAAAGCATTCTTGGTTGAGGCTGGAGTGGCCACCAGGGCACCCTGGGAAGGCTGGAGGCCCCCTATTTCAAAATAAGTGTCTACATAGCACTTAATTTGAAATAGCTATTTCAAATTTGATGTTATTCCTCATAGAATTTGGTTTACCAAATTCGAAATAAGTGCTCCACTATTTTGAATTTTTTTCAAAATAGTGGTTTGGCTGTGTAGATGCTAGAAAAGTTATTTCGAAATATGGGCTGTTATTTCGAAATAACTTTGCTGTGTAGACATACCCATAGAAACTTCCATGGTGAACTTGAGCAAATCACTTAGCTATGTCTGCATTAGAATTGGTAGGAGTGAATCTCTGCTAGAGGAGATGTGCTGTAATCAATCTAATATGATACACACAGATGTGGGGGTGGCACTAGCCACCCCAAGTACATTTCTATCTGAAACTACTCATGTATACTTAAGGCTGCTTGTGCATTGGCACTTCTATTTTTAACATAATAGCTCAATCAGAAATTAGCTCAATGTATACATGTATACACCTAGTCCATGCTTTGGTTTCCCATCTCTTAAATAGATATACTACTACTTTCCTGCCTCATGGGAGGATAAATACATTAGAGACTGTGAGGCATTCAGATATTATGGTTTCAGAGGGGTAGCTGAGTTAGTATGTAACTGAAAACTTTAAAAAACAATGAATAGTCTAGCAGCACCTTAAAGACTAACAAAACCTGCAGATGGTATCATGAACTTTCATGGGTACAACCCACTTCTTCAGATGACTGGAGTATTAGAAATCCAGATCCAAAAATAAATAAGGGAAGGTGGAAGGAAAAATGAGGAGGAAAAAGAAAAAAAAGAGAAAAAAATAGTGAATTGGATTGTTTAAGTTTCGAGAGGCTGAAAAGAACTATTTGCACTTCTATAAGTGCCCATTGTTTGGTTGGTTGGTGAAGTCACTAGAGGTATGTCTACACTAGCCACCCTAGTTCGAACTAGGGTGGCTAATGTAGGCATTCGAACTTGCAAATGAAGCCCAGGATTAAAATATTCTGGGCTTCATTTGCATGTTCCCGGGCACCGCCATTTTTAAATGCCTGGTAGTTCGAACTCCGTGCCAGCGGCTACACGCAGCACGGGCTAGGTAGTTCGAATTAAAGCTCCTAATTGGAACTACCATTACTCCTCCTGCAATTTAACTTCATTTACAAGTTTGATTCTTACTAGAGAGGAATGAATGAAGATATCGGCTGCCTCGCAGATTACCTTCCACATCCCCTAGGGTATGACTACACTAGCCACAAGCAAGAAAGTAAAACTTAGAATGGCAATAGGGAAGAATGGGTTTTTCTGGGAGGAGAGAGACTGAAGTGAGAGCAAAAATTAGGCACCATACAGCATATACAAATGAAAATTTTTGGTTTTGTTTCAGATTTTTTTTAAAGTTAACAACTTTTAACATTTATTTTTGGGTTTGTTTTGAGTATACAATGAAAAATGGGATGGTTTCTTATTTTATTTAGACTGTTTGTCCAACCCTAAGTTGGATCACAGGATCTTCATATTCTGAGAGTTTAATTCTTACAGCTTGGGAAACAAACAAATATGTACAATTCCATTTATAAAGAATCTGTACTTTATCAGGATAATGGGGGGGGGGGGGAAAAGAAGAACATGAGCATTTTGTTTGCTTATCACTTGCTAAGGTTAGATAGACAGACTTTTGCTGCACAGGTTGTTTATCCTGTTTCAGGCTTTTGCTCCTCTGGTAAGTGCTGTGTCACAGGGTGACTGTGGCCCTTTAAGAAGCAAAGGAGTCCAGCTCACACGTGACATATCAGCTGCCTCCCAATTAGGCTTAGAAGAGGACAGTGGGGCTTGAAAGGACCTGGAGAGTTAGTCAGCTGAGAGCACAGACTGGAGAAACAAGGAAATGGCTGTTGTGAGCTAATTGGTAGAGACAGTCTGTAGAGAGAACATTGCAGGCTGCCGTGGCAAGAAGGAGTAACTGGTGGAGGGGCTGGCTGCTGGTGGAGGGGCTGGTAGAGAGGCTGGCTGCTGACCTTCCAGTGCTAGAGAGCCAGTGTCAGCTAGCTGAAAAGGGCAAGACTAGGAGGCCAGCAGAAGGGTGAGCCTGCTGATGTTCTTGAGGTAGCTAGTCCATACAGGATGGCTGAAAAGGACTGAGCCATTGGACTATGTTTTGAGCAGAAGACATGATACTGGACACTCCTGGATAGTTTGGCGAGTAGAGGGTCCCAGGAACAAGGGCAGAAAGGAACTGGGAATTGAGTGCTGGTGGTCTCATGGATGTATGACCTGGAAATGGTGTTTCTCAACAGAAGAATGGAAAACTGGTTGTGTGGACTACTGTGTGTGTAAATGTATCTTAACAGTGACAAAGATTGTGCTCTTTTTGTGGCCGGACCTTGGGGAAGCTGAAGCAGAGGTGGCTTGTTGCAGGAGGCTGCTCTGGATGGGTCCTCTTTATGAGAGGGCATTTAAGGGTGTAGATGGAAAAATATATTGATACTAAGAACAGATGTGCTAGTTGTAATATGCCAGATCATGAGGAAATGAACTGGTCACACTTAGTTTCTTAAATGGAAAATGGTATGTTGATGCCAGTAAATAGAAGAGCAGAATATGAAGCAAAAACACATGGGCAATGCTCACGCTCACACTCACACATTTGCTATATACACCTTCATTTTCTGTAGATGACAATGTGGAGAGAGGCAGTAACTAGGGGCTTTCTTGCACAGTACTCACTCTTAGTATGTATAAACTTGTTCCCTCGCTATCAGCACTTTACAATTTCCCATTACTTGTTTTTTAAATAGTTCCCCCTTTGTTTGGGGCTGACTCTGGAATTTTCCTTCTAGCTCCTCCTCTTATTAATCTGGCTCTCCCCTTAGGGAGATCAGCCTGATCTGTATTGCTGGAAACAGTGTAAGAGCCTTCCCGCAGTGGAAACTTTCCTGGGGGTAAATACAAGACAAAAGAAACCTTTCAGACTTGTATATAAGAAATCTTGTGGCTACCAATATCAGAAATAGAAAATTAAGGGCACAACACAAACAGCCTCCTTTCTCCATTCTTCAGGCCAATTAAAGGTAAAGTAGCACTGCTCCTGAAAGCAAAACCAGCTCTACAAGGCCAAACTACCCATGGGGCAAATCTCAGTATAAAATACAGGACATTGTTACCCACCACTGCTGGTAATGCATGTACCTCAGTATGACCACAGTCCCAATGGATATATAATAATTAATATATAATATGAAATATTGGGCTAATAGTAGTGATGGATGTACTTCTACATTTTCATACAAAATATGTAGACTTTATTGCCTATCCAACTTGTATTATCAATTAGTATGAATCACTCCTGGTCTTTGTTCCTACCAGTTAAGCAGTTCCTATGGGAAAAGAGGGAGGAATACCTAAGAGACTTTGCAAAATGTGATACACTCTACAAAATAGGTTCTACTGGGCCTTTTGTAAATGACCTGTAGAAAATCAATGGATCGAAGTGGAGATCTTACATAATGCTGTGGCACTGGAGTAGGAAGTAGGGCGCACATCTGTTGTCATTACTGTAAGGGACTTCCAGGGGAGTGGACTACTACCCTACCTCAAAAGGAAATCAAATGACAGACTAGGACCAGACTGCCTCATCACCACTGAAGATGAGATAAGATACTTGAGGGATGGAAGTCTAAGGCAGCTGGGCTGTAGAGTATCCTCTGTAGCAAATGAGAGACACACAGAATTCAGGACTCTTGTCTCATTATGTATATCCAGTTTAAATGGTGTACACATGGCCTTGACTATGCTGCATCTTGCCACGTTTGATCAAACACATCCCATCTGAGGGATATTTGAGCACAAGTGCAGAACATATTGAGAGCTCACAGAATATGTATTTTAACATGTTTTATCAATTAGGGCCTAAATCTGTTGTGCATCCCCCAAACAGAAAATTATTCCACTTAGTAACATGCTTGTGTGGATTGGAGATCAAGATAAAATACAGGTTGAGCTGCAAATGGGTAAACATAAAAAAAATTTAAATAAATGAACCTCATTTTCTGAATAGCCTTCCATCTTTGAACATTTTAATTAGTGTCCATTTTAGTCAAAACTATAAAGGTGTTAGGAAGCCTATAGCAGTGCTTCAAGAAATGATGTCAAAGGAATGGTTAACGTTGGCAGAAGTGTTGCTAGCTCTTTAGGGGCCCTAAATAGGAATATTTTGTCCCCCCCCCACATACTAAAAAAGTTAATGGAGGCCCCCCTAGAGCTGATCGGGGACCCTAAGCAATTGTTTAGTCTGCTTATGCCTAGAACTGCTCTCAACTGTGGTCAGCTTGTTACCTTGTGGAGGTGATGTTGCACATCCTAGAGTGATAAATCACATTGTGGTTTGTTAGTGTTTTGTATACATAGGCACACATTTTTATTTTTGTTACCTGAACAGAATTCTTGATGTTAAACAGTCATTTAATTAAAATAATAAAGGTAGAATTTCCTTTGCTCTCAAAACAGCAATTAAGATTTAGGGCACTGGACTATTTGTAAGCAATTTGTTTTGCTGTGGTAACCACTATCCCAATGACTTGGTTAATCACTGAGTATTTGTATTCTGTCTGTGATGTTACGAGTTATGGCAGGTTACAGCAAATTCTGGATACCAAAAATCCTCATTTAAAAAAGCCAAGTAAATGAATGCTTTTTTGGCCTTAGAAGACCTTGAGTTTTAAAATTTTTCATTAATTTGCAGGGCACAAATAAATTAAAACGCTAAACCAATAGTTGTTTTTAAAAAATATGGAACAAAAAGATTGCTTTTGTGTAGATATCAACTGGAACTATTTTTGTAAAACATAACCAAATTATATTTGGTAACTAAGTTACCTTGTCTTTCCAAGACGTTTTATGGCCCAGTACTCATTCAAAATAGGTTCATTTGTAAAGCAACTAAACCAGAGTGAGCAGTTTTGTGAAGAAAATATAAGGAAACAAAGAGCAAACCAAAAGGCAGCTGGCATTTAGCACAGAAGAGGATATTCAATAGAGTAAGCTTCTGGGAAAAATCTAAGTTTGGGTTATCACTACATCTAATTACAACACAGATTTCTAAGCAGAAACTGAATATTAATGGGTAAGATTAAATACAGTACTTTACCTGTTCTGCACATGGCGGCTGTTGGGGTGGTGGATTAGGAGGGGCCTCTTCATTCTTGGACTTTTCCTCCTCTGGCTTTTGCTTCACTTTGATGAATCTTGCTTTAAGTTTATTGAACATCTTGTCTCCGAGACTGTTCTGAAACCTCTGCTGCTCTTTACTGGCAACAGGGACAGCCTGTAGCTTTTCTTGCCATTACTGTTCAAGCCAATTAGACCTTTAATCAGGGTTTACTTCTGGTTAATGCCTTGAAGAAACTCCCTACATAGACAGACTGTTCCAGTGACAGCTTTACATGCCATTATTACTTTTGTTTTATATCCTAGAGTAAGTGACTTGTAGCTTAATAGTTAAAAGTTATGCAGAGAATTTAAGTCTCTGCATAAATGTATATGGAAGAATGGTGTCTGTCCTGGCTGGAGCAAAGCAATGTCTTATATTTATATTGCACCCCAGGTATTTAACATTAATACATTTTTTGCATTTATAGTCAAAGTTTAGTCATAAAAGCATTTAGAGTCTAACTGGGAAATGAAAAAGGTTAATTAACCAATTGTCCTAGTGCTGCACCATCTACACAGTGGATTACATGACTTCTCCAGGATTAATTCCCTCTGCAGTCCCAAAGCAATCATCTTACAAGTGACACTAAACAGCATTAGCTATCCTTTACCCTCCGTGCTCATTTTTTAGTAAGTTTCTGCCTTTTCGCTAAGGGAAGTCGCATATTTCAGATTAATGGAGAAAGGTGAAAATATTTCCAAATGAAATCCCAACCAGTACCATTTTATAAAAAAGCCCGTGGTGATCATTTTGAATGGATCAGGATTTTTGAGAAAGTACTACAGAATTTAATATATGATGATTTTTAAATTGGGTTTTGGACCTAATAGATTTTAAAAGAAAATTAAACATTATTTAGTGTAATTTAAAAACGCTTATAAAAAGGATATCGGTTTCTAAAAACTTAAGTAGATGAGCAATTTCCATATAACCTCACTGGTTTTACAACCTATTAAATTCTTCAGGATGTTTCCATAAAGGAAATATATATATACATTTTAAAATACTTGATTGAAATATTGAAAATAAGTTTTATATAGGAGATGAATACTCATGTAAAGTATTTGGGGGCAGGGACCATCTCCGACTATGTTTCTACGTACAGAAACCTGTTGGGGAACACTTTAATCTACCTAATCACTGTTTACAAGATCCTCAAGTGGTGGTCTTGTCACAAACCAATTCTACTAGCCAAATACACAGAGAGGCATTGGAATTACAATTCATCTGCATGTTCAGTTCTCATGCTAATGACCTCAATTGTGATGAGGGATGGTTGGGACACTACCAACCTAACATTCAATGATGGTGCAAATAGCTCTTTGTGTAGATTCCTGTTATTGCCTTTGATTCTTATCTGCTTCATTTTACCTATCTGATCTTCAGGTGCTTACTATTCCCAGTTCCGCCTTCCTGTTTTTCCCTTTGATATTTCCATACCCTTTGCTCCTTGTTTCCCACCCTCCTCCTTTTTTTATTTCTCCCCCACTTCCCCCACTTCTCCCCTGTTTATTTTGGGTCTGCACATCCTAAACTCAGACTCCGGTCATGAAGAAGTGGGCTGTGCCCAGGAAAGCTCATGATACCATCTACATGTTTTGTTAGTCTTTAAAGTGCTACCAGACCATTTGTTGTTTTTTAAGTTTATCCTGTACAGACTAACTCGGCTACCCCCTAAAGCTATGTACAGTGCCTAGTACAGTGGGCTCCGACCATTGTTGGGGCCTCTAAGTGCTACCATAATAAAAATAATAGCAATATGTATCTATCAATATACAGGCTTGGATCATGTCATGAGACCCATCAGGCCAGATCCCCATGGTCCATGTGGAGCCCCATCATATGTGCTCAGAAGTCAATTTATAAGACACTGTGGGATGGGAGCAATGTTTCTCAAATTGTCAATTAGTTAGAAATTAAGAAGTGCCCTCTTTATTAAAATGTATTTTCTGGTTTAACAAGTCAAATGACTTTCCCTCCCCCTCATTAAAAAAAAAATTCTTGCAGAGGCGTCTGACCACATTAATTCTTACATGTGGTAAACTGCAACCATTAAATTAGAAATATATAAACTATTTTCACTGGAATTAATCATACAATATGGATTTTACCTTTATCTCCTGCATCTGAGATTCTGGCCATATTCTTTTTATATTTTTTTAGTAACAGAGAAATTCTAAGGAGGAAAAAAATAGAAGAATATGAATCAGCTAACAAAGACTATTAGGGAATTCTTTTTTCTTTTGGTGGATTACAGGCAGTCCCCGGGTTACGTAGAAGATAGGGACTGTAGGTTTGTTCTTAAGTTGAATTTGTATGTAAGTCGGAACTGGTACATATTGTAGGGGAAACTCTAGCCAAACATTTCTCCAGAGCTCAGTTTTATTCTCCCACACCTCACTTCCCTCAGTCCTTTATTCTCAAGCTGAGGTGTCTGCTGAGAAAAGCCGCTCCGCGTCTCCCTGGTCTGCTGGGGGAGGCGCTAGCTTCGCATCTCCCATGTCTGCTGCGGGGAAGCAGCTAGTGCGGGGTTGCCTCACCCCGTTTGTAAGTAGGGATACGATGTAAGTCGGATCCATGTAACCCGGGGACTGCCTGTACATTGGAGTTTGCACAAATCTTAATGGCTTGCTACATCGTAAGCAAACCTGAAGACTAACCTCTCACACAGAACTACTGGTACCTCATAGTGAAAATGAAGTCCTTTTAATTATTTTTAACCTTTGTAAAGGTCTATCTTGATTTTTAACTATCTGTAAAACTATAAAAAGAGTTACATTCATTAAAAGAAAAAAATAGACAAGCTATGAAGCATTTCTGCAGAGTTACATGTGTTTCTTTTTAAAAAGGTTTCAGTAAGTAGTAGTGTTTTTAGCTCTTTTTTATTATAATATTTGTGATGCTTTCAATTTATCATTAACATGCATGAGAAAGGAATGTAGTAAGTACTGAAAGGAAAATGCCTTTGGGAACCTGTTAGTAACTATTGACATCTGTGAATAATAAATGTTATATTGATTTAGCTGTGTCTAATGAAATAAATGTTTGGAAAAAATCTATATGTTACTATTTCATAAACAGTAATCAGGTCATCATGAACCTGGTACACTGGTACAAATGGGGCTACTACTTCACCTTCTGCTCTTACATGCCACTGACCTTGGATACATGGTTAACCTGCTCCAGTATTTTGTTATTTTTATGTACTAACGTTATTTATTTATTTTTATCAGCTATAGAACACACTAAAAGCACTTCACTTAATTGAACATCATGATCTGCTGTTAAGTAAGAAGATTAATGGTGTACCAGGCAAGGCAGATAGTCTGCATCCAATTAACTTCTTAGCTATGTTGGCTTTCACCGATATTTACTATTATGCTGCATTTATACTAAAATCTAAAGGATTTAGGGATTTCTGAGCTGCCTTGTGCTTCCTTTTAATAAAGGTAGAGTATATCCCAATGTTTAATAATGTATCATTGTTGGCCACAAAAGATTATTTCAAGAGATGACAGCTTTACAATATACACTTTGATTCCTTAAGAAATGTCAAACACACCTCTTCATTTATTTTAAAAAACACACACACTTTTTTCCTTCTGCTGAAACTTTAGTTCCATTAGTATTTAAGGGTGTGGCATATTTTCATGGTTTCCAGAGTTTTGTAACTTTTTGGAGAAGTGTTGTAAGCCAAAAGCAGATTTAAAACTGCATGATCACACATATAATAGTATGAATTTTAATTATGTTCCAGAATTTGTGAAAGGGATTCATCTTTGCATGAGTTGTTCCTGGATCTTAAACAGGAAAGCCAGTTAAAAATCTCGCAGTAGAATACTAGTTTGGTTAAATATTGTGGCTGAGATTGTGTGCATATACATGTATTTAAGCTCTAGCCATCATTAATTCTAACTTTGAATCCCACGTACTCCTTAATATAATTGCATATTGTGATATAGCATTTACATGTTTTAATCTCAGCTACAGAATTAAAATTTAATATCTGGAAAAAATCCAGTAAGGCTAACAAACAAATCCCAAATTGTTTAACTATTACATTAAGGGGATCTGGAGATTAGAATCTATAGAGTTAGTGATGACCAAATGTATATTGTAATGGATAAATGTTGCCTGATTTCTTTTCATTATTACAAGTAATAAGGTACCTAAGATCATATCTTAGTTGGCTATCTAAGAATTGAGGCAAGACTATGCTTCTATACATTGTATCGAATTTCTATAACTTTCATCTACTACAAACATGACTATTTTTTTCACCCCATATAATAATTTTCTCTTCCTGATAAAGTTAAATGAAGTGCAATAAAACTTGTAAATATGCATGAGCATGCTAAATAAGAAAAAAAGTAAGAGTTTGAAACAGGGATGTTATGGGTAAGTTTTCCTTGAAGCAACATGTGTCTGTATTTTATAATGTACGCACAGGCCAACATACACGTCTTTAGACTACACTATAAGACTTACAAAAGATATAATATCTGGTTCCAATATCTAGGAGCTTCAAGGCTGTTGCCTTTCTGTGTTCAGTTCAGGCACATATTTAGTGAGTCACTGGTTTCTCTTTTGTAAGTCTTATAGTGTAGTCTAAAGACGTGTATTTTGGCCTGTGCGTACATTATAAAATACAGACACATGTTGCCTATGTGCTGCCCCACCTATCTTGCCTGGAGGACCAAATCTGGTAAGTGCCTTCACAGCATAGCTAACAGTATGGGATCTCCCACTTCACAGCTGCCAGGTGAGATGATAGGATTTAGAAGATGGATTTCCTACCTTTCAGGTAAGTGGCTTATCCGCTAGACTAGAGAGTCATTCTCACACTGCATGTGGTCTAATGCATATTTCATTACTAGCATATTTAACCAGTGTTGCTCGGGTCATTAAGGAGGGGCTCAGGATTGGTGGTGAGGGATTCGGGGCTGCAGAAGTCAGGGTAGGGTTGTAGGAGTCAGAGCAAGGGATTGGGAGGTGTGTGTGGGCTCATGGCAGGAGGTGTGGGGTACAGGAGGTTGGCTGATCCCCCAGGAATAGCTGGGGTGGCAGGGATCATGTTGCCAATGTGGCAGCATCTCACCAGCATAGGAACCTTTCCCGTGTATGGAGGCTGACAACACACA